AGGAGGTGGCAGGAGAGGACCGAAGCCATTCTAAAGACTCCCAAACACGGAATCGCCAACAAGCTTGTTTCAAACACTGATGTAAAAAATATTTTTATTAGTACATGTTGGCTGTACATAATGATCCCATTCATCACAGGGAGTTGTCCACACACTTAACACATCTTAACTTTTTTTAAAAACATCATAGTTCTTTATCCTTCCTTCTCTCCTCAGCCTTCTCAAATGTGAGTTTCTGATTCACTGTCTGGGTAAGGTGTGTTTTAGACAAGCTCCCTCTTTTCCAAGGGAACAGTTGAGAAGCCTGTGGCTTAGGGCTGGGCTGGGTAAAGGTTGTACCTTTTTGATGTTTCTTTACCTCTGAGCCTTTGGTGTCTCAGGAATCTTAGGTGGATCTGGCTGGGGAAGTTTCGGGATGACTGGATAGTAGAGGGCTGGTGACTAGGAAGAAGCGTTTTTTTTCTAGCTGTGGGGCATTTTCCACTTGCTCCCCAGTCCCAAAGAAAGGCCTTTCTCTCACACAGATGTAAAAACAGTACCTTGCTTTAATTCAGGTGCAGAGTTGCAAAGTCTTGGGACTGTCCTCCTGCTCCACACAGCGTAGAGGGAAACATCTACCTATCGGATGCATTACTCATTAAATACATTTGTATGACAACAGCTAAGGAATAATAGAAAGAATTACCTTTTAGGCCTTCTGACAGGAGCCAAAGAACCAGCCTTATATTCACAGAGTGATTACTAGCCTGCCTAAGTACCAGGCACTACTATTTTAGGTTAAGAAGATAAATCAGCGATTTCCATGCATTCACAAAACAGGCATTTGAGTTAGGCAGACTGGCAAACTCAGTGAATGCTGTAAGATAAGAGTGCAGGTAAGATAGGCCAGGCCTAGTGGCTCACGCCTGTAATCCCAGCACTCAAGAGGCTGAGGCAGGAGGATCCTTGAGAGTTCAAGACCAGCCTAGATTACAAAGTGAGCTCAAGGCCAGCCTGACCTGCATAGAGAGACTCTGTCTCAAAAAGACAAAAAAAAAAAAAAAAAAAAGGTAGAGACAGAAAGTATTAGGGCCAGGAATAAGTGCAAAGACTGAACCCTTAACTTACGAATTCTTTTCATTCCCCAGCACTGGTTGTAACTTGAGATGTCAACTGAAGGCTCAGGCTCCTCTACACAGCCCTCAAAGTCTCTCTTCTGTACACAGCAGATGTCCGTGTCCTTAGAGAGCCATTGGCCCAGGATTTCTCAACTAAACCCACTCAAGGAAAGGATATTGTAATGTTACTTCCATAACCCTGTGAGGGATAAATCTGTATGTGAGGTCATCTGGAAACACAATCGGCTGGCATTCAGGCCCTAACTCAAGCCTTTAGTCGCAAAACTAAAATTCCAATCATAACCCACGTTGCTGGTATGTCAGGCTGATTGTAACTTAAGGGTCATTGTATAGGACAAGAGAGATCTTCAGACAAGTGACACAGGAAAGTCACTTCTCTGAACCTGTTTCTTCATCTATAAGAAATAACAGAGCCTTGCTGAGGAAGGTCAGCCCTTTGTCATTCTGAGCTATGGGATTTGGAGTACTGATAAGGGACTCTTTGTCCAAACTTTGTGCAGGCTGTTCACAACTTTCTTCTCAACTAGGCTTTGGCATGTGGGCTTTTGTGTCTGTGTACTTTTAGCAAGAACTCTGCTAAGTTAATTTATCTGGAATCCTCTCATCCTTGATATTTCCCCTTAGTAATTTTCTACCACCACATCCCACCGTGACCCTTGGCTATAAATTTCTACTTCTTCATGTATTCAGAGTAGAGACTGTACTCTCTCTTCTACTACAAGGCCCCATTATGGTAGTCCCATGTTAAGGATAGCAATCTCAGCAGTCCCCTTGCATGTCTGTTTTAAAGTTCTCTAAGAGGGCTGAAGATTTAGCTCAGCAGTGTAAGTGCCTGCCTGGCAAGCATGAGGTCATGAGTTTGATCCCCAGTACCACACACACACACACACACACACACACACACACACACGCACACACAAAGTTCTCAAGAAGTGTTATGAACAATTTCTCACAGATAGTACAAATCTTCTTTGCCTTCTCAATTTCCTCATATGTAAACAAGGAATACAAATCCAGAACAGCAGCATGTATCTGTTGTCCCAGCTACTTGGAGGGTGGAGCAGAAGTACATCACAGGATTTTGAACTATGTCAAATGAGTCTTTTTTTTTGTACCAGGAATCAAACTCAGGACCTTGCACTTACCAGTAGCACTGAGCTATATCCCTGGCCCTGAACTGAGATTGTTAAGATATATGAAAATATAGCCGAAGGGGTGGCTATCCCAGCCACCATGTGGTAATCCCAGCACTGGGGAGTCTGAGGTAGGCAGATCGTTGCAAATTCAAGACCTGCCTCAGCTACAAAGTGAGCCCAAAGCCAGCCTGAACCCTAGTGAGACCCTGTCTCAAAAAGACAAAAAAAAGGGCTGGGGATTTAGCTTAGCGGCCTAAGCACCTGCCTTGCAAGTGTGTGGTCATGAGTTCGATCCCTGGTACCGTTAAAAACGAAAAAGACAAAAAAAAAAAAGATACATAAAAATATTTTTTAAGGGTAGCAAAGTTTGATTAAAGGTAGGAAAAGAAACAGGCTCTGGGGCTAGGGATTTAGCTCAGCGGCATAAGCACCTGCCTTGCAAGCAGGCGGTCGTGAGTTCGATTCCCGGTACCGGCAAAAAAAAAAAAAAAAGAAAAGAAAAAAAGAAACAGGCTCTGCAGAGTGAGTCAGGGCACAGTAAAAGGAAAAGTAGTACATCCTACAATGCAAGGATGAGCCACCATCCTTGAAGACAGTGGTTTGTTTGTTGGTTGGTTTGACATGGTCTCACTATGTAGTTCGGCTGGCCTTCAACTTGAGCAATCTTCCTGCCTCAGCCTCTTGAGTGCACACCATGTCTAATAATATATTTTTTTTTAATTTTTTTTTTAGTTTTTTAAGACAGGCTCTCATCATGTAATTCAGATTGGCCTTAAACTCACTATGCAGCCCAGGCTGGTCTCAAGCTTGCAGTGATCTTTTTGCTGCAGCCACCCAAATGCTGGGGTTACAGGTATGAGCCACCATGGGAAAAACACTTTAACATGTGTAATGTTATGAAAATGTACAGAAAACATGCACACTGGTATTTTATGGACTGAAAATCTCTTGCAAATGGTAAGCAGGGCCTTAAGACTTCAAATGGTAAATTAGCTAACAGTTCGTACTGCCTTTCCACATTGGCCGGGGAAAGGCCAATTGTAAATTATCAGGATGTGCCCAGTAGACTAGCAATCTTATCTTAGATCTTACACTGGGGATAAAACAATCAAACTAAATGTTCTGAAGTAGACACCTCATAAAATAATTACTACATGGCATTTGTCAAATTTTAAAGTGTTTAACAGCTTCTTTACATTTGTTCTTCTTCTGTTTATGGGACTTCAGTTCCAGGAAAAGAACTACGTGAACTTAAAAGTTATAAAAACAAAAGAACAGTTTAAATGACTAGACCTACCTTATGGAGTATCTGGTGATGCTCAATAGCAATTAATGTGGATAATGACTAAAACTATGAACTACTGCATACTCTTTAGGTTTCTATTTTGTCAGGCTGGCCTCAAACTCAAGGGGATCCTCCTGCCTCAGCCTTCCGAACACTGGGATTACAGGCATGCACCACCATGCCTGACCTGGGCCTGTTTCATTTTTTTAAGCGGCAGAATCTTCTGTTTCTTAAGCTGGCCTGCAACTCCTATGTGCCAACATCCTTCTGCTTCATCCTCCAAATAACTGGAACTATAAGCACATACTAATCGTTCTGGTCTTGTTCTTATCTCCATATTCTTCAGCTTTCAGTATCTGACAGCATCTCAATATGTTTATTGTTTTTTTTGTTGTTGTTGTTGTTGTTTTTTGTCTTTTTACTTTTTATCGGTACCGGGGATTGAACTCACGACTGCCTGTTTGCAAGGCAGGCGCTTATGCCGCTGAGCTAAACCTCCAGCCCCCCAATATGTTTGTTGTTAAACCAATAAACATATTCCTGTACAAGCATAGTACTGTGTCTATGTAGGTACTCAAAAAGTGGTTGTGTAATGAACTCACGAACTTTAATCAGGTGGATTTATTTTTCTAGACTAGTCTACTTGACCCATAAAGCTTGCATTTGAAACAAATGCTTATGTCCCTTGACAACACTAAACTGCTAAATTATATTTTATGCCCACCTCTCAAACTGTACCAAAAGTTTTATTACATGTAAATAAAACATTAAAACTTTGATTTGAAGATAACCTAGCACAGTAGACGCTCAATGTTTGCCAGATAAATAAGATGCACATTCAGAGCGAGAGCCAAGTTCTTCTTCCAGCCCAATCACTCAGGGACATTAATTTGGGATTACCTACCCAGTCATCTTCATCTGGGGACCTCCACACCTTTTCTGAGAGCTACTGGCTCACTTTCGCTAACAGCCACATTAAAACTTTTCCTTGAAAGTTTTCTCTCAAGTACCTCCCTCTTCCAGCTGTCACCAAAGCAGCCAGGCGCCGATGGTGTCAGGCTCATCGCGTGCCAGGTGCTGCTCGCAGACACTGCCGGTGGGCGGGCCCGAAGAACTGCTTTGTGGCTGTTCCCTATTGGGACTCTGTTGCTCTGGTGTGCCCGCCCTTAAAAAAGAAAAAAAGATCTTCGGGTACAGCTTCCCGAGGCTAAAAGAGAATTACTTCCAGGGCTGCCCATACCTGACATGGCAGACTGAGTAATCACTAACCTCAACAACATGATGAATTTTGTGCAAAAGTTCTAAGAAATGCTTTTTAATCATTTAAATTGACGATCAGAATACGATAGTACAACCTTCCTCCCCTCTCAAAACGTTTTGGTAAATATTCTTTTGTTTGCCAGCCTCCAAAATGGCGCCAGCAGCATCGCGAGGTCAGAGGTGAATCACGTGGGTCCCCCGGTTCCGGCGTGGCAGAGGTTCCGGGTAGAGAACGAGTGTCCGGCACCATGACTGGTTTGTCTGGCCCACAAGTCTGGCCCGGCCCTGGCCCGTTTGCGTTGTTGTTTTTGTGCCTGCTCGGCCCTAGCTCGGTCCTCGGCATCTCCTTCCATCTGCCTATTAATTCTCGCAAGTGTCTTCGCGAGGAGATCCACAAGGACCTGCTAGTGACGGGCGCGTACGAGATCACCGACCAGTCTGGGGGCGCTGGCGGCCTGCGGACCCACCTCAAGGTGCAGCACTGGGCGGCGCGGGGCCGGGAGGGGAGACCGCAAGCGTCGGCGAGGGGAGGCCTAGCCTGGGGGAGTGGGGCTGGCGGTGGCCGGGGCTTGGCCTGGCGTGTCCCGAGCGCCGAGGACTTGGTGGGGTCCGCCCCCTCATCTTGCTGGTCGGCGCTCGCGGGGCGGGGCCGGGCGCCAGTGCTTAGGGCGGCGGGCGTGGGCTTGGCCGAGGTGGGGAGCGCGCCATTTCTGGTCGTCGCCAGGGTCCTCTGCCTGTTTTACTCTCAGATACTTGGAGCTGTGACTTAGTTCCCCGAAGAAGTCTGGATAGTGGGATGTGTGGGGTTAGGCATCCCAAAACCCCGTGATGCATGCAGGAAAATAATAGAAACGATAAAGCTTGGAGTGATTAATAAAATGTGTCAATGAGCATGTTATATGTCACTTCCGGTGCTACTTTATAGGTAGATAGTGAAAGAGCTAAATGTACATAAAGCATACAGGTACCGTTAGCCCCATTTTACAAATGAGGAAACAGGCTGGGAAGAACATACGGGTCTTATAGATGAAATTCGTTCTTAATTTTGTGGTTAAGTATGTTGAAGAAAATCAGGCTGCAGTAATACTCCCCCGTGCTTTAATTTTGGAATTCGTGAAGTCGATTAAAGTCCATTATTGGCCACGAAGTAATCTTAACCTCTAGTCCTTCCTTTTGGTATGACATAATCTGGATTTGGCTAAATCTCAGCTATACTTTTGGTGACAGCTGCTAGCCATAATGCCATATGATCCCCACTTTAGACTGCAAGTACCTGGAAGGCAGGAATGATTTTGAAGCGAAGTTAGCCTTACTTGGTTTTGAATTGTTGGTATAATTTGACATCAAAACGTGATTATTTTAGGTAACTTATTCATTCACTACGAGCATGATCGTCTTTTCAGAATACCTTTACTTTCTAAATAGAACTTCAGATACAGTAAAACTATAGCTTAAAAAGGTAAGATCATAACTTTTAAGGTGTTGGAATTTAGTAGTGATAATAGACATAGTGCATACTTTAATGTTTTTGGAATAAACTACCTTCAAGGAGTGTAGTTTATGTGACCTGTACTTTTTTTTTTTTTTTTTTTTTCTTTCCTGAGGCAGTGTCTTGTTATGTAGTTCAGGAAGGCTAACCTTGAACTCACTATGTAGTGGAGGCTGGCCTCGAACTCCTGACGATCTTCCTACTTCAGCCTCCCAAGTAAGTGTTGAGATTATAGGCATGTGCCTGTACCCCTAGCGGACCCACACTTTTGTCATTTTCTTTGAGTAGGGTAATCCTGTCTACTCAGGCAAATGGTGGTGGTGAAATTTTCTGAACATAGATAACAGCATTTGAGGGCCAGGCTGCTGTTTGTAGTTTTTTTGTTTGAGACAAGGTTCCCACAATGCAGGTTGTTACAAAGTTTCTACTATTCAGTTCAGGCTAGTCTTGAACTCACTATGTGGGCAGGTTGACCTTGACTTACTGCAGTCTTTCTGCCTCAGCTTCCCAGGTGCTGGGATTACAAGCTTGGGCCACTGTGTCCAGCTGAGAGTGGTACTTCTGGCTCTTTAAAGGTTGTAGTTTATAGAGTCAAAGAATTTGACCAGTGAAAGAGACATTGCTCTCATCTTCAGTCTCTGTTGTCTTTCAGTTGTTCTTACGCTTTAAAATCCTTCAGCAGCTCACTGTTGCTCATCTGATAATTTAACGTTCTCAACATGCTTTCTAGTGCTGTTCATGATCTCATTCCGAAGCTTTCTATATTGTTACTTCCCAGTTTGCATTATAGCACACACCTGAATGGTACCTTAACCTCATTTATTTTCTCTCTTGTATTGTTAACTATTATGTTTATGTCTGTCTTATTAGATTGCTAGTACCTGGAAGGCAGGACTGATTTTATGCTTATAATTTTCCAGAGTGCTACGTATATTGCCTTGCTTTTAGAAAGCACTCAGTAGAAACAAGAGCCATGGTGTAACCTGCCAGGAATCACATCTAGGGAAGGCAGAGGAGACTCAGACAGCAGAAGTGTGTGCATGGCACATGGCATTTCACCAGCCCTCAGTCACTCTGCATGGCATTCAGTATGGCAACTGAATTGGGCTGTTAGGATCCTAAACCCAGATACCAGATAGGAAATAGAAAAGAATGAATTGGACTAGAGTTTTGTTTTGTTTTGAGACAGGGTTTTGCTTGTAGTTCAGGTTACCCTTGACCTTGCTTATGTAGCCCAGGCTGCCTTTGAATTTACAGTGATATTCCTGCCTTAGCCTACCAAGTGCTGGGGTTGCAGGTATGTATCACCATGTGTGGCTACATCTAATCTTTCATATGAAATCAAATGTAATTTCGATGTGTGTACCACCCCATCCAGCTCCACATTTATTAAGGAACTGATGGAATAAGACCATGTTTGTCTGGCTACATGTGATTAAATAAACTAGTATGATAATATTAAGGCAGACCAAGCAGCTCTTTAAAAAGAATGAAGTAGTTGGGACATGGTGGTACACGCCTGTAATCCCAGCACTGTGGGAGCCTGAGTCAGGAGGGTTGCAAGTTCAAGATTATCTTTTATATATTTCCATTCCCAGACCTCAGGACAGTTTTTCTGAGTCTGATTCCTTTTTATAGAGAATGATATATAGGCTTACATGCTGGATAACATTTTTAAAAATAAATGCATTGTGCAGGTTATGGAACACATTTGTGGGCTAGAATCGGCCTCTTAGTACACTTCGCAACCATTTTCATAGTATCTCTCCATTTAGTTCTGCTTTTTCTTACATTTTGACCACTATAGGCTCAGACTGGGCCCCAGAGATTCTGTCAGTGCATCATCTCAGCTTCGAAGTGTAACGCCTGAGCACAGTAGTTCCTTTTGTATACCAGACCACATTCTAGGCCTCTGGACCGTACATGGATAGCCTTCCCTTGGTCACATGTCACTCCTGGCCCAAGCAGCTGTGTTTTGAGTTGAGGCAGGAGAAACGGGGACTTTGTAGTGTGAAACGTGGCCAACTGGAGGATTTGGTAGTTGCTCAGAATAAGGTGGTCTCTTTTTAAGGATCTCTTAAAGTATGTGAAATAACCTAATTCAGTCTCTTCCTTTCTAAGAATATTTTAATGACCAATGAGTGACCTATGTTATGTGTCTGTGTTGCAGTTTTATGTTTACTCATCTCTGGGTTTTTTTGGATTCCCAAAATCAAATTCATGACCTCACACCTGCCAGACAGGCACTATACCCCTGAGCTATATCTCCAGCCCCAACTCTTTGGATAGACTATAAGTTCCTTAAGCAGAGACTGTCTCATTGCAATGCTTATGTCTAGGATAGTGCCTGGCACATAGTAGGACTTCAACAAAAGGAACTGTCTAACAAAAGAACAGACACTGTACTGATCATCTTGCAAGTCTTTGACTATGTTGTTGTGGGTTTTTTTTGTTTTTGTTTTGGTTTTGGTTGTTTTGTACCAAGAAACAAGCTCATGATCTGGTGCTTTTGCCAGGCAGGCACTGCCCCACTGAGCTGTATCCCTAGCTCAAATATGTTGTCTTAACCTGCATCAGCCTTTACTTTTGCTCAGCACCTCCTATGTGCTTTCTTCACAACCTGTTTGTCATGGCACTTTTCATGTAGTATGATGCTTCCTTTGCAAATTTCTTAATATGTTACCCATCTTTGTGTCTTCAGTCTTGTTTGTTGTGTAAATTAAATACCTTAATCTTTTATCCTTCTATCACTGGGGGGTTGATCCCAGGGCTTTTACACTGAGCTGCATCCCTAGCTCCTTTTTAAAATTTTTTATTAAGTCACTAAATTGCCCAGCTTGTGTTTCAGCTTGTTATTTTTCTGCCTCAGGCTCTGAGAGTGCTAGGATTACAGATGTGCAGTATTTTATTAACTCATTCAAGATGGCATAATTCATGTCTTGCTGCTAGGTGATTTGAACTATTAGTGGTACAGGCATAAGTGTCCCATTGGTTGGTTTTTTATTACTTACATTAGTACAAGACCAATGAAAGTGATTAGATCTGTTGGTACAAGCCACCCAAAGGGACACTCATGCAGGTACCACCAGTGGTTCAAGCCAGTGGGAATGTGTTTTAGGCTTGTGTTAAAGTGTAAGGAGTCCGTAAACCCCATCAGCTCTACCACAGAAATGATGTATGGTCTTAGGGGAATTACTTAATCCTTCTCCTTTCATCTCTTATGTGTAAGGTGGTGGTGCTAGGGCTCAGAATGGTTAGGACTGAGACAAGTAGGTTCTGTATTTTTTTTAAGTAATAAAAGTTTGAGAATTCCTAGGAAAGGGTATATCTCCCCACCTGGAGGGAGGGAACAGCCCTCTAGGAAATCACTGAGAAATCGCATGGTATCCGGCACCCTGGCCTGTACCTGGAAGAGGAAAGCTGTTCTCTCATGAAAGGTTGGTGTTTGATCTTCATTACTCCAAGTGGGCTCAAGGCAACAAGTACAGAGGATACCATTACATGATGCTGGGTTGGGAGTGGAATGTACTGGACCCCTAGCTGGGTCCTCAAAAACTAGAGGAGACACACAACTATTTCCTCTCTGGGTGGAGTTTTTAGTAAACCAGGTTCATTTCTTACCTTTAGTGAGATAGTTACTTCCTTGTGTGAAACTTTGATACTGAAGGTTCAGCACAAGGTTGTCAGCTGTGAGATACAGTTTTATAATGTGATGATCATCTTGAAGATGTTCTGAGTGAGTTCTTTATTATGCAGGACCTATTAAGGTCCTCCAAAAGTCTGGAAAGTCTTTGTTTAATTATGTATTGAGTGAAAATTGAATTATCCACCTGATTTTCAGGCTCTGTAATGTCATTAGGATGGCCAGATGAAGAATTCACTCTTTTTTTTTTCCTTTTTTTGAGGCAGGGTCTCACTATGTGGTTCAGGCTGGCCTTGGGCTCACTTTGTAGCCCAGGCTGGTCTCGAAATCGCACCGATTCT